AGGCGAGAAAATCGTACAGTGACGTGAGGCTTCGCTTTCTTCTTTGGTGGGGTTCAAGGTGAGATTATATCAAACTGTGACTATAGCTGAAGGGGTCGTTGTCGGCACCGGTACTACAGATATGTACCGCAGCATTCGTGACCAACTCGTGTTATTCCGGGACAAGCCGAATAGCGACTCGTGCCCCAGTGGAAGGATTTCATATTGGCGTATGAACATCAGAACTACTTTAAACAAGAACGATAACTCTATCCCTGTTTGATTCCAATTCTAAAAATCACCGAAGCACATGTACATCGTATTGCTAGGTTGTTGTTTTGGGGTTTTATTTACTTATTTATTTATTCAACCTCTTTGATACAACTAAAAGAAGGAGAAAAACATATTTGTTAAAGACATATGGTAATGTTATTATTACCAGCTGTTCACTTTATATTTCCAATTTTGTTTATTTTCTAAATAGGGTTTAAACACAAATTGGAATTGTTTTATTGAATATACAAAAAACAAAATTTCAGCTACATTAAATCCCAAAACAGATACTCAAAAATGACTTTAAAATATTTCTCAAACTGAAGATTCGTGTAACCTTGCTGTCACACCCCAGGTGGAATTTCAAATTAATTCGCTGAAAAAAAATATGAATGACCAAAAAACAGACTAAAATATCCCCAGAGCTATGAAATATAAGCCCAATGTTAAAGATTAAGGTTCATTAGTTACATACAAATACGATATTATTGTTTTGAAACTCGTAGTGATTATAATTACATTTTCCTAAAATTGGTTGAAGCGCACGTACAATCTCCATAACAAGCCCGCAAGATTGTCAGAAATACAGTTGGACCCATGACAGCAGTTATGTCAACAAATGCATGTGCGTATATTTGAATCTCTCGCCGTCAATCGCATGATTCTTATTAAAAACTTCATAATAGGCAGCAAAATCCTTTTAGCTACGTTCTTTGTACTTTCAATATGACGATATAGATTTTTCATGATTCTTTAAACAATGACATAATGCCATAAACGATTTAAGTACTCGGGATTATTTTTATCAAAGCACCACGCTCATTTACGCGCGTTCTGATTGGTTTGTCGTATTTTCGCACATAACAAGTATCGAGTGGGGGACGAGTCTTCTTGAAGGTTACGGAAAGGGGCGAGTCGTGAGGAATGGTACCGCAGGTACGTTTCTGTATAATGAGAATACAGAAACGTACCCTAGGATGATTCCATTCCCATTCTTGATCGGAAATGTCATGTTGTATTAGATACATTTGATTGCGTTATGGAAGTAATGAGAATACACAGTAACGGATATTTCGCGATGCATATGAATACCACTCGCAATCAGTTGAACAGGAACAACTACATATGGTTTTGGGTTTGGATTGCAGAATATGGACTCTTCCGTCGCTTAGGGTACCGGGTACGTTTCTGTATTTTGTCTTTGTTTAGGGTACATGTCAGTATACAAAAACGTACCTGGGGTACGTATCTGTAGTACCTGTGCTGACAACAACCCCTTCAGCATGACAATATCAAATTAAGACCATGCCATGTGTTGGTGAACCAATACTCTGTGTGTGTGTACACATGTGCACATGGTGTGTGCATTTACATTGTGAATGCTTACCCTTCCCCAAATTAAAGAAAAAAAATCATTTGTTTTTAAAGTACTTGAACACCCACGCACGCACGCACGGACGCACGCACGCACACACACACACACACCGCTCTCAGGTCATGTACAAAATCAATGACCCACCTATAAATTTTAAATATCAATGTACAAAATTGATGCCCTAACCCCAACCCCCAACCCCTTTAAACCATCATCACCCCAAAGCCATAAATCAATTATGAATGGTTCTCTGGTGGCCATGATTTTACTGAAATTTTATGAAATTTTGTATTTATATACTGGCCACATAAAGAAACTGTGCACACACAAAATATAAATATAGGCACACAGCGTCTTTATACATAAATACAAGTGTGAACATAGCAAGTGTTGGAGACAATCAAACGCTCATGAACGTGCCAGGCGACGTGACGTCATTGATGGTGGCCTATGGACTTGCAATGTGTTACTGCATGTGAAGCCCGTGCAGCCGCACACATGTGAAACTCAGAAATTGCAGTCACTGTCGAAAGCTTGATCTTTGGTCATTCAAATGTTCACAAATTCACATGAGAAGTCACATGCACATCATGCCAAGATTAACATCTGCTCAACGTCAAGAAGCTATTGGAATGGTTCGAGCAAGAATGAGCCAACAACAGGTGGCAGCACATTTCCAATGCCATCGTAACACGATATCTGCATTGATCAGGCGTTATCGAAACAGTAATGACGTCACCGACCATCCACGTTCCGGGTGTCACCGACGTAACGACGCCAAGACAGGACAGAAGGATTCGGGTGACTCATCTCAGACACAGGTTCCAGACGGCAGTGACCACGTCCAAAACCATTCCCCAGGCCTCCAATGCTCATTTGGTAGCCTCTGTGCGTCGTCGATGCACTGCTGTGCTTCACTGCTGATCTTACTGAAGATCAATTCTAACCTTGATCTTCACGGTTAAAATAGACGAAGAAACAGAACCATCAAGTTGTGTTTTGAATAGCAGCTACTGTCTCAGACCCTACAGAATAGACCCATGAAGATCCAGGTTAGAATTGATCTTCAGTAACCCATGCTTGTCATAAGAGGCAACCAACGGGATCGGGTGGTCAGACTCGCTGACTTGACACTTGTCATCGGTTCCCAATTGCCTCGATCGATAATGATGCTGTTGATCACTGGATTGTCTGGTCCACATTTGATTATTTTCAGACCGCCACCATATAGCTGGAATAGTGCTGAGTGAGGTGTCAAACAACAAACCAACAAGCCTCAAAACTAAATTAGCAGATCAAAATTGCTTCAGCTCTGAAATTAATTATTTTTCTGGTCCGCATTTCGAATAACGGGTTTAAATAATGGGACAGAGTTCATATTTCCCATATTATAAAACACTTCTGATGAATTCTATCATTTTCTCATTACTGTTTCCTATGTTAGGGATGAATGCATCCAAACATAAGAAACTTGTGGAAATTTAATATTTAATGTTTTCCATTGCCATAGAACAAAAATAAACCATGTTTTTGACATTCGTTCATGCAGAAAAATGTTCTTCAGATTACTTTAAGATAAATACTTGAACAGAGATCTGCAGAAAAATTGACACCTTAATGTAACAAGTCTCACTTCTGGTTATCTAATTTGCACCGATATATAGCTGGAATATTGCTGAGTGCGGCGCAAAACAACAAACAAACCAATGACAGTTTCTGGGACTAAAAATCAGTCTGAGCTTGAGTGATGGCCAAAGCACCAGTATCATTGCATGGGAGGAGTGGCCAAGGGTTGCCAATTTCTCTAGTGCTATTCTGTACTGGGCTGTTTTTAGAAACAGTGCTAAAATCCACAGGCATGCTTTAGTTAGAGCTGTGACGATATATCGTATCGATAATCGTGATACTTTATCTGACGATATATATATCGATATGTTTTTTCGTATCGTGATATGTATCGTTGACCTTAAAATTGTTAATTTTTACTAGATATTGATGGTTATGTCAAATTTTCCTCCTATTAAAATATGATTTTTTAAGGAAAGTAACTAAAGAAAGCATATCGTGATATGGATCGAATCGAATCGTATCGTTCTAAGATATCGCGATACGTATCGTATCGTGAAATTTCTGTATCGTCACACCTCTACTTTAAGTGCATGGACATTATTGCTCTGGTTAACCCAAGCTGCCTGTGAGGCGCTAGAAGGTTAATATTCATGTGACTTATATATTCCACCGGGTACCCATTCACTGCTAGGTGAACAGGCAATTTTGCATAAACTCACATGCCTAAGGTGAGACAATGGTCATATTTGCATTATTGTGAGGCATTACTCAGTTCCAAGAAACTCTCAGGAGTCAAGTTGCCAAACACGTCTCCCATCCAAGGACTCTCTGTGACCAATGTCGGCTAACTTCATCTTATTTGTGACCTGAGCGCTACACACAAGATCACACATCTCCACAAGATGATATACAGCCATCCAGAAAGCCTGGATCCAGCCCTTGCTGATTACAATCACATCTCTCAATGCCAATCTGTTCCATACCAAGAGGTGAGGTGAGGTGAAATGGGGTTTAACGTCTTACTTGAGAATATTTCGCTCATATGACGACGTGCATGCGTGTGTATGTGTGGCTGCTTGTACTACCCCAGACTTAAGCTGGTTTTATAGTGCTAGCTCACTGAGATACCATGCCACAGTTAAGCATGAATACCCCACTCAGACACAATATACTGACTCCGAGCCGACCAGTCCTTGTTGTACCCATTAATGCTGAGCGCCAGGCAGGGACCAACAAGTACCATATTTTAACGTCTTTTGGTATGATGTGGCCAGGGATCGAACCCCGGCCTTCCGCTCTCCGGGCAGATGCTCTAACCACTACACCACAGAGGCAGTCTCCATCCCAATAGCTGTCATGGTGTGATTTAACTGAAGTACTGTTGAAGGCACTTGAAGGGCATGATCAGGAGATGTTTCTCTCTGTGTATTAAAGATGTGCAATAGAAGTAGATCACAAATGTTTTATTCACAGTTCAATTACAAATATGAATGTTACAACAGGTGGTCACCTTAGCTGAAGATGTACTGGACAATGATAGTTGATGCCTGTCATCTCTCCCAGCCACTGGGCTTTTTTCCAAACATTTAGTCAACAGTTTGCATCTATAGTGCCAGGAGTGTAAAAATGCATTTGGAGTGGAAGGCATTGTTCATGATTTTCCACCAAGGGTCCAACAATCAATAAAAATGATCAAAACTTGGCAAATATGCCCTGGGTGTCGTTGTACAAAGAGATCTTAGCGTTAAGATGATGGTAACTCCCATACCTTATCAGGGACTTGCGACTGGTGTAGTGCTAAGGTGATTGTAACTCCCATACCTTATCAGGGACTTGCGACTGGTGTAGTGCTAAGGTGATTGTAACTCCCATACCTTATCAGAGACTTGGGACTGGTGTAGCATTAAGGTGATTGTAACTCCCATACCTTATCAGAGACTTGGGACTGGTTTAGCGCTAAGGTGATCGTAACTCCCATACCTTATCAGAGACTTGCGACTGGTTTAGCGCTAAGGTGATCGTAACTCTCATACCTTATCAGAGACTTGCGACTGGTTTAGCGTTAAGGTGATCGTAACTCCCATACCTTATCAGAGACTTGTGACTGGTGTAGCGCTAAGGTGATCGTAACTCCCATACCTTATCAGAGACTTGTGACTGGTTTAGCGCTAAGGTGATCGTAACTCCCATACCTTATCAGAGACTTGGGACTGGTGTAGCATTAAGGTGATCGTAACTCCCATACCTTATCAGAGACTTTTGACTGGTGTACGTGACTTTTGACTGGTTTAGCGCTAAGGTGATCGTAACTCCCATACTTTATCAGAGACTTTTGACTGGTTTAGCGCTAAGGTGATCGTAACTCTCATACTTTATCAGAGACTTGCGACTGGTGTAGTGCTAAGGTTGCTTTGTACAACTGCACCCATATCGTTATTGTCAAGGGAAAGGAGCACCCAGCAGCCTGGGGTGACTAATTGGCTCAGGTTAAGTTTGAAGTCTTTGTTGATGCATGGCATCTTAACTGCATATTGATTGATATGCCAGTCATAGGATTGTCTGGTCCAGACTCGGTTATATACAGACTGCTATCATATAACAGAAATATCACCATGTATGGCATTGAACAGATATGAACTTCATTAATTTGAATTTTTCCAGTCATCCTACTGACTTCACACACTGCACAGCTGATTTACTTGGGAATTTAAATCTAAAACTATGAAGATGTATACATAATTTAGTACAAAATCGGTTTGCTACATGAACACTATTTTACATGCTGCTATGACGTTGCTAACAGCGAAACCGCATTCACTCACTAATACATAATGGGAATGCAAGTTTGATATTCTCGTTGCTACATACATCAGTAGTTTCGAGGGACTCGCTGCAAAATTGCTGATGCTGCATTCAGCCATATTGACTCAGTGTTGAGGGATATGTCTTTCCTCGTTTGTATGTGTGGAATAAATATAAAATCTAGTGATGTCAGCGAAATGGGTTTAAATAAATTAGGATGTTTAAATGCCCATTAAATTTACGTGATATAAGTCACAACATTGTATAACAGAACATTGCCCATTTAGCATGTTTATGATGATAAATAAATATTTAACAATGGATGATCTTATTTACACACAGGCTTGAAAGGGAGATAATGCAGCCATGTAAAAACAGAATATAACAACCATATTGTAGACACAAGCACACATTGACAGAACGGTGAGCATGAACATGGAACACTTGCAGAAATACACCATGAACATAATTTCATGCTAAATGCTTGATGCTGCTTTAGGCAAGACAGCTGTTGGTTAAATATTTGTCACTTGTTTGGTAAATTTTGTACAAGCAGTTTCCTACCAAACAAGCAACAAGAATTTGTGAATGTTTCAAAATTGATACTACTTTCACTACAACTTATGATCTATCACAGGTGGTGAATAACTGGCAGTAAAAGCTGGAATGTACTGGATACTGTAATATATGCACTTAGGAAAACAGTATAACTTATATTTGGCAAGATAGCTGTTATACAAGTTATTTAGCTTATTTTAGTTGTCCAGCATTCATTAACTTACTATCTTCTTTCACACCAGAATCATTTCAAATTCTGAAAATATTTAATTGTTATTTTTAAAAAAAAAAAAATTGTTATCTGTTCAGCTTTGTATAAACATTTTACTGTATACTTCATCAATTGGTAATAAACCTCTGTCACACAAACAGCATACATTCATTCATCTTTTCATTACAAAATTCCCTGAAAAACAATTTGGATTCAAACCAAGGCCTACAGTTCTTGATGACATCCATTTTGGCATGACGACAACTCCTCGTCCACGTCTCCCTCCACATAATCTGGCACTCGGAATGAGATGTACGGACAGGGTCCCTTAATGTTTTGACAGAACAGTTTCTCTAGCGTAGCTGTTTGCACAATATCGAACCCTGTCTGGCCGCCAAATGTAGATGGCTTCCAATGTTTGGGACTGCAAATCGTGTTTGACATTAGTCCTTTCACGGAATATGGGCCTCCAATTTCCACAAACGCTCCACCAAATAAGGCTTTTTCTCTTCTTTTCTCTAACATGAGTCCAACATAGAACTCCACTGCGTCAATATCTCCATATAGCTCTTCTAATTCCTTCGCTATTTTCTTTTCACCTGAAAAAGTTACGAACATGTAAGAGCTTGTTATTACTGTTTTATTTTTCTGTACTTGCAGAAATATTTTTCACGATATGCTAGGGTACGAGTTGTACATTGCTTGACCTTATTAACAGGAATGTTTAACTCGTACAACAAATTGTAAATGTTCAGAGGTGAGATTAAATATCGGTGTATGATACCGCCTTCCCATTTGTGTATAATATCATTTCTTACAACAGAGTGCCTTGACCATGCCAATGATAACAGCTGATTGAACATATATAGTGATGCAGATTTTGTTATTAGGTCATTTGAGGATATCTTCCTGGGCCTAGATTTTCGAAGCTCTCTTAACGCTAAGATAGTCGTAAGTTCATGTTAATGTATGGCACTTTGCTGGACTATCTTAGCTAAAACCAAACTCAGAGAGCTTTATAAAATCATAGGATATCCCTGGCATCTAAAACTAGAAACAAATCTTAATGGAGGCGGAATTGTAAAATCTATAATCCTGGTAGCCCATTTCAACCTTGAACTCAACACTATTGAAAATCCTTTAATACCTCTGACTTTGAATATATCCTGTATGTTTGTGTCCTGGTTATAAGGATTTCCTTGAAATATATTATTCATCTGTCAACCATGAAGGATCTCACATCGAGCTAAACGGAAATTTAACTCCTCGGAAGGAATGTTGTCATTATATGAGTATAGACACATGTTGAAATCCGGTTGCTTGAAGCACTGGAGCCTCTTTGTTTTGTAGCAGCCAAGTGGTTAAAGCATTAGCTCATCATTGCCAAAGACCTGGGTTTGATTCCCCACATGGATGAGATGTGTGAAGCCCATTTCTGGGGTCCCCTGTCCTATTGCTGGAATATTTCTTGGTAGCTAAAACCCTTGCTTTGTTCACTAACTGAGTGTTCACTAACAGTGTTCACTGACTGAGTGTTCACTGAGTGTTCACTGAGTGTTCACTAACTGAGTGTTCACTGAGTGTTCACTAACTGAGTGTCCACTGAGTGTTCACTAACTGAGTGTCCACTGAGTGTTCACTAACTGAGTGTCCATTGAGTGTTCACTCTCAGGAAGTGACCAATAGGGATGGGTGGTCAGGTTCGCTGACTTGGTTGACACATGTCATAGTATCCCAATTGTGAAGATCGAAGCTCATGATATTATTGGGCTGTCTGGCTCAGATTAAATTATTTACAGACCTGTCATATGGCTAAACTGTTGCTGAGTGAGGTGTTAAACAACAAACTAACAAAACAGATCAGAGGGGTAGGCCTGCACAATGATAAATGTTTCAAATGTACATCAATAATACCTGTTAATTCTTCAAAACTTGTGTATGCTTTCATTCCAAATCTCTTCCTGTACTGGTTCATGGACTGGAAGCTAAGCGTCCTCCCATGAAGAATAGCTTGTTTTAACACAGGCTGTGTCATGGGTCCGTGATTATAACGGCTCATCTGCAAACAAAATGTAAATACCCGGTAATCATGTAATCATGACCAGTATGCTATATTCCGATGTATTTACAGGTGCTTCAGGCTTTATGAATACACTATGCTGTTTAGTGGTCAAATGCAACAGTTATACTTGGGACTAGATTTTCTCAGTAAAGTACAGATTCTAGGTTTTTGGTACCAAGAATTGAACCCCCAATCTTGGCACCTAATCACCAGCACACAAAGTTAGTGACCTAACCCACTAACCCACCATCCTATCAGTTTCATTTGTAAATGCATTTCTATCCCTGCTTGTACACACATGCATGCTCTCGGGGCGGTGGGGTAGCCTAGTGGTTAAAGCGTTCGCTAGTCACGCCGAAGACCTGGGTTCGATTCCCCACATGTGTACAATGTGTGAATCCCATTTCTGATAGCTGGAATATTGCTAAAAGCGACGTAAAACCAAAGTCACTGGTTCACAAGCTCTCACTGACAGTTCTTTAGTCGGAAACATACCATTCCAGCTCTCTGCCTGGTCATTGAATCTACGAAGTTCGCAAGGCCATTTTTCACAACCAGCTCCGAATGGTAAACGTAGTCTTTCATGGGTACGATGCTGCCACTGACGTTGAACTCGGAGGGCATGAGGGGATGCCAGTGGTACAGGTGGTTGAATTCAACTGCGATACGGTTTCTGGTACTGGAAGCTCTCTCCAAACAACAGCTCCGGTTTGAACATCAGCTTGAAGTTGTAGTTGCTCAAGTGCTGCACGTAGTCTTCTATCACAATCTTAATTGTCTCACCTGCAATGACAATTAGGGTCACAGTTCTTACTAAAGTCCATGAACAGGCTCCTCTAATTCTTAAAGAGACAGTAGGGTAGCCAAGTGGTTACAGTATTCGCTTATAATGACAAAAATGCCTCGATCGGTCACTTTTATTCAAGTTCTTATCAAATAAGATCCATTTGGCATTTAAACAACATTCACACCATGATCCACTCATCAATATATTTTATTGTTTAACACCTCATTCAGCGATATGCCTGCTATGTAAAGGTAGTCTATAAATAAATCGAGACTAGACAAGCCAATGATTGATGTCATGAGCATAAATACATCCAATTGTGATATCATGACATGAATCAAGAAAAACATCAAACTTGACTGCATGATCCCTTCGCCTCTTACTTACAGGGCGGTTGGGTAGCCCAGTGGTTAAAATGTTTGCTCGTCACGCCGAAGACCCAGGTTCGATTCCCCACATGGGTACATCGTGTGAAGCCCATTTCTGGTGTCCCCCTCCATGATATTGGCTAAAAGTGGCCTAAAACCCAACTCACTCACTCACTCACCAACCATATGTTGCTGAAGACCAATACTAACCAAAATCTTCCCAGGTGTTATATAAAGAAGCAATAAATTATAACTAACCTAAAATGATCCACTTTGCTGTCTGGAAGAGTCTTTCATCATCAAATTCAGGATGCTCCTGTTTCAAGACTTCACAAACCCGGTTGTGTTCTCGTAGCCACACTGTGGCGTACATGAACAGACCTGGCAGAAGGCCGAAGAACTGGTGTCCAAGGGCAAACTTGAGTTGTTCAGGTGTGTTGGGGGGGTAGGTCATGGGTACCGGGGCGTCTTTCAGGTAGGGGGGAAATTCCTCCCCATTTACCATCTGGCAACAATAGTATGTTTATATGAATAGATAATTCTAAAGTTGGTAAGCTGGAGAGTTGGCTAAATAAGGAAATACTTGTGACCTCTACTGGCTTCACTTCGAACAGCTTGGACTCGCGATTTTAGTTTATTTGTATGAACTGCTAAGTTTTGACTGCCTCTTGTATATGTGAATGGACATGCAAACTTTCTGTATACCCTGTGATATAAATGGTGGCGTGTGGTCCTGTGCGCAGAGCTCAGGTCACGAATCAGTTGAAGTTAAGCAACGTCGAGCTCGGACAGTCCTTGGATGGCTGACCGTGTTTGGCAGCTTGACTCCTGAGAGTTTCTAGGACTTCAGTCCTGCCCCACAATGAAGCACATGCGATACATGTGGTCTCACCTTAGGCAAGTGAGTTTGTTCAAATTGCCTCTATTCACCCAGCAGAAAATGGGTACCCGGTTGGATAAAGTCATGTGACTATAACCTTCTAGCGCCTAACAGGCTGCTTGGGTTATCCGGGGTAATAAGAATCAGATTCTGATTAAGCGCCTCGAGCAATCACTTGGTGTTTGGAAACGTGCTATAGAAGATGACTTATTATTAAATGAATATTGTTACAAGCTGCATGAAGAACAACTCATTCCAACTTGTTTTGTATGTGATCGCATAGTATAAATGATCTTATATTAAACAAAACATTGTGTAAACTTTTGTATTATGTACATTATCATATTACGTAAATGTATCGCATTGTGTATGAGATCTTGTTACATATGTGATCAGACTGTAATAACCTCTTCCTGATCCTGGAATCCATAAACCAAACAGCCTGTTGTGCAATTCCGTTTCAAATTATCCCAAGCATTTAACTTACCTGTGATTTCATTTTTCCATCTTTAAAACTTCTCAATGAATTTTCGCTTGCTTTATCTTTTCCATAAACATGAGAGACATCCACCTGTAAAATAAAACAAACTGAATAACACCTGGAAGATATTGATGACCGAGATCCACTGAAACACTCATATAATACTCCTCTAGACCCATCAGTCCACAGCTTGTTTCACAGTTGTAAATCAAATGACAGTTTCTTTCATTCATAGTTAAACATTTTTAGAATTTTTCACAGGCAAAATGAAAGGGAAAGTAAGTCTGAAGACAATGACCTTTTTTCTTCCTTCTGATAAATACAAACTTATTTGTTTTCACACAATTGTGCATGTATTATAAACCTACAAGACAAGCTGAACATGTTTAGAAAATTGTTTGAAGAACAAAAAATAATGTATTGCATTCTTTCCCCCCACTTAAGGATTTATGCTCTCAAAAAAACCTTATCAGCAGATAAAACACCTGGCGTAGCAGGAAACAGGACCCCATTATGTGTAAAAGTGTTTAAAGTGGACGTGTGTAAGTAGGTAGTGCTTGGACTGAGTGATACAATGAGTTAGTACAGTCAGAAAGCTTTATTCTCCAGTGGACACTATAGATGAACAAGCTCCATACGTCTAGTTTATTGGTGTTCACTGTTGTACTGGCTTTGTGAGATCATCTCTGTATATTCAGTTTGATCATATATATTCTTGACCGTATCAGGGATTCAGGAATAAAATTTAAATTATAAATATATGGCCAATTTGGCCATATTTTTATATCACCTAGGAATTACATCCACAACTGAAATGGATTTTTATTCCCAAATCGTATGAAATTGGTATATAAGAACCCCACTGTTTTCTTGTCTGTTTAAAAACTAGAATACATCCAATTTTATTCAAAATTGTTAAAATGACTATGGTATTATCCAGATTGCAGTGGAGAGACAAGACTGTATTTGGTATTTAGAATCTGTTGTCTGTAGAATGCATCAAATTTTATATATCACTTTATTATGATGACTATGGTATAATGATCATCGCAGTGACGCCATGACATGAATCTAGGGCTGGTTTAAAAGATCGACAATCAGAAATATTGTCGATGGGAAGAATTCTTCGTGATTATTAATAATATCCTCCTTGAAATATTGCGATGAAATAATGTTTTAGTTTTATCATACAATACACAATGTTACACCTTTATTCATGGGCTACTTCTAAATTATGTTCTGATGGTGGTTAGTTCGCAATCCAAGCCTAAATATGTCGCCACACAGTGATGTGAAATATGTTGATTTTCTGGAATCAACTTCCACTGGAGTTTGGGACAATTAACAACCTGAAGATTTCAAATCTAAACTGAAGACACACCTTTTTAAGAAGACATACAGTGTCTAACTTTACATTCTCGAGTTGTTTGGAGAGTGCTACTGAGCAGTACTTTTGGACTGGAACTGGCGCTATATAAATGTTTATATGATGATGATGATGATGATGATTTTTTGGCATTTTAGCTCAGTTACCTCTCCAGTACTTATCGATAACTAATTAATATTCAGTTAATGATTATGATCAATATAGATAGCCAGTCCTACATAGGTGTATTTTGTTTCAGCCCAGTGAGGTAGACACTTACCCCATGGCCACCCCATGTGAAGCCAGGCCCCATCTTGAGGTCCGTCTTGAAGAACTGGTGGGTGAAATGCTGAGCAAAGAAGGAGAAGAGGACATTGCTACCCATGGGCTCGGGCAGAAACTTGGTCCGTGTGAAGAACTTCTTTATCATGTAGTCCACATCGGGCAAGGTCTTCTTACCTGGAGACAACAGTGTTACAGTGAGTCAGGTAAATGTAGACTACTTTCAGATCAATGATGTGGAGTCCGGAGGGGTGTTCTAAAAAGTCGAGATCTGGGTGGTGGTGAAATGGGATTAGTACCTATTTTAATTTGCTTGCCCTCCAGGACACCATACCACAGTTAAAATTAAGTTTCTATGAAAATAACAATTTACTGTAAATCATACAAGTCTTTTGCCCTATACTTATTATATAGGCAGGTGGGGTAGCCTAGTGGTTAAAGCATGCATCGTCACGCCAAAGACCCGGGTTCGATTCACCACAATACAATGTATGAAGCCCATTGCTTATGTCCCTCGCCCTGATATTGCTGGAATATTGCTGAAAGCAGCGTTACACCAAAGTCACTTACTCACTTATTATCAGCGTTCGAAATACCTGCCTGCCCGACCGCCCAGGACGGGTTATTTTCAAAACGGACTGCCAGATTCTCAAATTCACCTGCGCGATGGTCGGGTTAAGATTGTATGTATATGAAGTTAGTATTAGTTTTTTTGATAATTTTACAAGTTTTAATTTAATTATACTAAGTAAATTAGTATTTTTTGTGGGCAGGTAAGTTTTGGTCAGAGCTGGCAAGTTTTACGTCTAACCAGCCCTGTGGTCTGGCCGAAATGTTTGGGAGTTTCGTACCCTGTTATTATACATTAAAACTTCCTGACATTTCTTTGAGTCTTCGTATGTATGATAAGTTACATAAGGATCTGGCACAACACCTTTCACTCTACAGTGCTCATCTACTCAACCACGAAAAGAATGAACACAATTTTGCAGAGTCACTATTAACCAGGATGTCAACACCAAACAATACAAAATATGTGATATATATGAAGAAATGTATCATATGCGTGTATATTGACTTAAAAATACATGTACTGTGATCCAGTACAAAAGCCTGCAGGCTTCTCAGTCGGCCATATTTCACATCCATTATCAACATCAACAAGATAACAACACCAAGTGCCGTGAGCTGGCAATTTTCTGCCTCAGTGGCCGATTCTCCATGCTCCGTGTGAATAAATGTGATCCTGGGTGTGAAGCGGGGGCTTAGGCACTAATAGTTCAGGGACTGGGAATCCCCTGGTTAGTCCAACCACCATCTATTGAAGTCACCTACACGATATTTAATGGTTGAAACGGCACACTGTATTTCCCAACTGAAGCATTATAAATGTCGCATATTCTTGTCTGGCTGTTGTGTTGCAGGCTTTTCCCATTTATCAGCCATTCATGAAAAGTCAATGACAGGAACATCATGTACATATTACAATGGCATTTTATGCCAGGGAGATGTGTTATTGTAGTGACAACGCTAGACATAATTTTGTAATGGTATCTGATATACATACACAAGACTCCCACGTATGTGCTCTGTGAAGGTAAGGGACCCTTCATAAATATGGCTAGCATGTACAATGTAAATGACATTGCCCACTCCCCACCCCCCTACGTGTTCAGAGTAAGTGATCCTCCCCCTGCATGCCATGTACAAACTCAATTACCCCCAAAACATGTGTACAAAATTGTGCCCCCACCTCCCCAGAACAAACTGGGTGACCCCCACCCCTTCAAATCATCATCACCCCTAGCCATAAATATTGAATAATCCCTAATATGAGAAATACATTTTTCAAAAGTAAAATAGAATTTAAATTTGTTGTTAGTTAAAAACAGTAAGTTTCATATTTAAGATGTTATTTTCGTGAATTTTCTTGTACTGGCCACTGAAGGTAATAAGAGAAATAAATTCTTCAAAAGCTAACCAAAATAGTTTTTGTTTCCCAATAGTTAAAAACAGCAAGATTCTTTTTCAAGAAGTTCTTTTCTTGAATTTTCTTGTACTGGACTTCGCATTGCATGTAATAATATAAAACTAAACTTTAAAGCCACTTTCTTGGTTAAAATACAACTCGGGTGTACACGCTCATGGCATTAGTTGTGATACTGGTAGTATGAATGAGAAAACATTCAATTCCAAATTTGGATGTTTTACTGACATTTGCTTCCAATTTTGGACCAAATATTGAGCAGGTCTAAACAAATCTTGCTGTTTGCGATCCCATAGCAACACTCCCTGTTTCCCGGTAGTATGACCTGGCTGAGCCAACATATATCTCGTGATGTTTGTAGGTCTGTCTGACTTGTATGTGTCTTGTAACAGAGATGAAACAGTGAAGGCAAAAAAGGTTTAGCGTTTGTTGTCTCACTTAAGACCCAGATTGAATCCAGTATGTGTGAGCACTTTTGTTGTACTGTAGTTATAGGGATAGAGTATTACTGGTAAATAATGCCTGTATAGCATGGATGGTGTTTATTTGGGATGCCTACTGGTGGTTAAAGTGTTAAAATGTTGCACTGAAGACCTGGGTTTGGTTCCCATGATGGTATAGGTGGGAAGTCCAATTCTGTTGTACCCTGAAGATGCTGTTTGAATTTTGCTATTATGCTCACTTACTCACTCACTCACTCATGATGGTACGGGGCGGTCGGTAGCCTAGTGGTTAAAAGTGTTCGCTCATCACGCCGAAGGCCCGGGTTCGATTCACTACATGGGTACAATGTGTGAAGCCCATTTCTGGTGTCCCCCGCCGTGATATAGCTGGAATATTGCTAAAAGCGGCGTAAAACTAAACTCACTCACTCACTCATGATGGTACAGGTGGGAAGTCAATTCTGTTGTACCCTGAAGATGCTGTTTGAATCTTGCTATTATACTCACTCACTCACTCACACTTTCACATGCAACAAGCTCCCCTATCTCACACTCTCATAGTGTAATGATAATCTCTTACCTTTGACCCCCATGGGAGTCGGGCATTCTCGTGGCACTGGGGGTAATGTCCGTGTGTAGTAGGAGTAGTTGCCAACAGCATCGAACGTTGCGTACTCATGGTCAGATTCAAACACAGGGGGACTGTCGACCATATGGGACCGCACTGAAACAACCATGTCATGTTAGTGTGTTGGTACTGTAGTGAGACAGTTTGGCATTAAAAAGATTTGTTAACAATATTCTGGAATGAAACTTTTGAGTATCTGGTTCGCAGTCTGAGTATCCTCTGCATTACGAGGGGCGGGAGGGCTAGCTTAGTGGTTAAAGCGTTCGCTCGTCACACCAAAGACCTAGGTTCGATTCCCCACATGGGTACAATGTGTGAAGCCCTTTTCTGGTGTCCCCCGCCTTGATATTGCTGGAATATTGCTAAAAGCGGCATAAAAACTCAATAGTTCTGCATGACAGGGGACTTTATAGAGTACTTGGTATGGATTGCCTAAGTCACCAGGAGGCCCACCCTCTGCTGTGTTTGTTGATGTCACATTCAGCAGTTGTTTAGCTATATGACAGTGGTCTGGACATAATCACTTCCTGGCGAGATGATCCAGTGATTGACATCAAGAGCACTGTTCTAAAAATGTTGGGATACGATAACAATCATCACCAAATGGCTGACAGTCTTGGGTTGCTGAAGATAAGTTATAACCCTTGGTCCTGTTTCACAAAGCTCTCGTAAGTCTAAGATCTCGTAACTTTTCTCGTAGCATTCGAACCTCCTGTTACAGTATAGGAGGTGCGAGTGCTACGAGAAAAGTTACGAGATCTTAGGTTTACGAGAGCTTTGTGAAACAGGGCCCAGATCTTCATGGGTTTCGTCTTCTGTGACTTGCTGATAATGTGACATTACGCTGATCAGCCTGGAACAGCTGGTTTGTTGGTTTCCAAATGATTGCTGTATAGGTAGGGGGTTTCAGATATAGAATTACTGACCACATTACAAAACCTAACAGCAATGATTGGTTGACCTACTTGTGTAAACTCTCTTCATGGCAGCATTCTTGAGAAATGAGACATTGTTGATTATGCTCCAAAGCCATTTGTAGTTGACGAGGATGTGATGGAGTTGTTCGGGATCCGGCTTCAACATCAGCTTCACCCTCTTCCAGAATGTGGCTGCAAGGAGAACAGTAGATACTTGCATGTGATTGGATGACATCTGATTGCATTGAATTTGTGTGATTGGATGTTTTTGTGATTGGATGGATGTCATGTCATGTGATTGGATGGCATGTTGTGATTGGATGGCATGTCAAGTGATTGGATGGCATGTCATGTGATTGGATGGCATGTCAAGTGATTGGATGGCAATGTCATGTGGATGGCAATGTCATGTGATTGGATGGCAATGTCATGTGATTGGATGGCAATGTCATGTGATTGGATGGCATGTCATGTGACTGAATGGATGTCATGTGATTGGACAGTGATGTCATGTGATTGAATGGCATGTCATGTGATTAAATGGGATGTCATATTCTTTGATGCATGTCATTGGATTAAATAGCATGTCATTGGATTGGACATATCAAGGGCCTCAAGTTCTAGGAAAAATAACCTCCGTGTACAGACAGACCCATCACAGGGCATAGGCAACCATGAATTGTCGACCTGTGAGAAACCCTTGTTTAGTTCTAACAGTATTGTTTTACAGTAGCAATGACGAATGTCTCCCACCAGGTGATACCAATTTAGAGCTTTGCATATTTATTGAGTTCAAGTTCCATCATCGAACAGCCCCGATGTATGATCCGGTTCAGTATGTTCAGTCCGAATGTCAGAAGTGTCATGGCCGTTGTGAAATAGTCTCTGATGGATGAGTGGCAGTAACAGTGTTTTGATCCTCGCCTTTAACCACTCGTGTCAAGCGTGCACTACCTGCTATTATTACATGTTTAAATGTCATGTGTCAACATGCATAGTGATATTTTGGGGATGTCATGTCAGCCTTTAAATATGTAAGTAGAAAGTACAACAGGAAAAGCTCTTTTTGAAATGCAGAGCCAGAACATTGAATTTAAAAATATGGTTTGGCTATGTATGTCACTCAAAAACCTTTCAGAACAACAGACTCCAGTCATGTCATGTCGAAGCCCATTTCTGGTGTTCCCCGCCCTGATGTTGCTGGAATATTGCTAAAAGCGGCATAAAACTAAACTCACTCTCACATGTCATGTCATGACAGAGTAACTTTAATCATACGAAGAATGTGTGATAAGGTAGCCAAGTGGTTTAAGCATTTGCTCATCACACCAAAGACCCAGGTTTGATTCCCCATTTGGGTGCATGCGTGAAACCCATTTCCAATGCAAACCTGCTGTGATATTGCTTGAATATTGCTTAAACCAGTATTAAACCATACTCACTCTCTTAAAACATACTATTCACTTGTGTTTGTTTATAGACCATGTAAGGCAACATAAACCTTTGTCTAATTAATCCACTATGCTGTTGTGTAGTATCCCTTGGTCATGACAGGATCTGCTGTTTGTTTGATGATTTGATCCCTTCCTTTGATATTACCAAAATATCAGATCTACAACCAGCATTTTTTTTACCTTCCTCTGAAATTGGCTCATATTTCTGGTGTCCCCAGTCGTGATATTGCTGGAATATTGCTAAAAGCGGCATTAACCAAACTCACTCACTCACTCACTCATGTACTTACGATGTTCGCAGTAGTCTCCATAGTATTCGAGTCCACTGCAGTCACAGGTATAAGAGGTATGACCGGTGGTCAGGCAGATGCCACCGTTTTGACAGGGGAAGGAACAACAGGGGTTTTCTGGAAGAGAAATAACAGCATTATTATCGCATATGAACATCTCAACCTGTAGGGTGTCCAGTTGAATAGGTCATGGATGACATTGTACAAAGCAATCTTTGTACGTAGTTGACTGAACCTCTCATACCTGAACATAATCCTATATGAACATCTCGACCTGTAGGGTGTCCAGTTGAATAGGTCATGGATGACATTGTACAAAGCAGTCTTCAAACTGGCCCATGGCCCTTTTCCCATCCCGCCCGCCTGTAGTGTCCAATTGAATAGGCCATGGGTGATATTAGTTGACTGAACCTCTCGTACCTGGAACATAATCCTATATGAACATCTCGACCTGTAGGGTGTCCAGTTGAATAGGTCATGGATGACATTGTACAAAGCAGTCTTCACTGCACTCAGGCGACCGTAGCTCACATACCTGTACTTACAACTGTCAAAGTGCCATGGTTGCTTTGTACAAGCCTGGGTCCAGAAAGCGTTCATAGCGCTACAACAATCGTAAGCCTATGATAAGCTATAAAGTTACGACAGTCGTAACATTAAGAATACTTTGTGGATTGGGACCCAGAAACCTATGTTTGTTAGATGCAACAAACTGAATCTGGTGGTTCAAATTCTAACATTAGGTTTTATTGTGTTCTATCCTCAATGGTTTGTCTGGTCCAGACTCAGTTACTGACTCCATCATATCACTGGAATATAACTGCAGCATCAGGCAACAAACAAACAGGTGCGGCAAATCTGAGTCTTTTTTTTGTGAAAGTTGGGAAAGATTTAAATCAGGCATGGTATTATTTTTATCTGTCAGATGGAAAGGATGTTTATGTCATGTAAGAAAAAGGATATAATTTTTACTGACAATTGTTCATCCAAGCTTGAAAAGTCAGCATGACTCGCCTTGGTATGTGATATTGTAATGGTTTTAAGATGGGTAAGATCTCAAGTGGCTGGGTTTTGTTCAGGATGGGTGAGATTTTAAGTGTACTGGGCTGTTCAAGTTTGGTGGCTATCTTTAAGGATGGGTTCAATGGGTTGGGGTTCAAAATGTAGGCTGGTGACCCTCTCAGATACAGTAAAAATACTAAATGGAGAATATTTATCTTGACAAAAATATAATATTTTTTTAAACATAAATGTTTGCAAGGTGGTGAGGTTTCTTTTCCTGATATTTATGAAAAAATAGATGTATGTTTGGGTCATTATAATCAGTGTATGAAATAAGGCCTGTCCGACAGCCCGAGATGGGTTAGATTTCAGACGGACGGTCTAGATTTACAGATAGCCAGCCCGGTGGTCTGGTAAAACATTTAGATGTTATATACATCTGAGTCATATCTTGGTGTCTGGTCTGGTTAAATCCATTTTGGACTGGTAACATTTTGAAGTTACCTGTGAGCCCTGATGTCTGGCTGTGGTCTTGACTTATTTCATACACTGTTATAATGCAAGGAGCACCTTTAGGGGTGGGGGGTATAGATATTTTACCACTTTCTCAAAGACTCCTGGAGATTCATGTTCAGTTTCTCGTCTGAAGCATGTTTCATCCCTTTCATAGATTCACATTGAGTTCCCCATTATGTTATGTGAATACCATTGTCTGTTTAAAACATTCACATTGAGTTTCCCATTGTTTTTCAATACCATTGAAACCCATTTCTGGTGTGCCCTGCCGTGATATTGCTGGAATATTGCCAAAAGCGGCGTAAAACTAAATTCACTCCCTCACTATTTGAATACCATCATCTGTTTAAAACATTCACATTTAGTCACCTGCATACCAGATTAAGGAAGTTTAGTTAATTGCATGCATTCACATGTCAAATGTTTGCTGCTAAGTTCAAGAGGAACCTTTACACTCAGAATAGTGGAGGGAACACAGCTTTGCATAATCACGTTTCTTTCTGTCGATAAGTCATGTTTTCCCAAATCTTAAGAACATTTTGTGTATGGATGTTTCCTCAACACCTGTGTACAGCGGAATATGAATATTCATGATGAAGTACGTAATTATAATCCTCACACAAAGAGCTTCAGGCAATGATTAATAAATTATGGTCAATTCAGTGTTCACCTGATCTGGAATAAGTGGAGAATGAGACTGATTTTGGTTTTTTTTGTCTAACACTGCACTTGGAAATATTCAAGCTATATGGCGGCGGTCTGTAAATAATCAAATCTGGACCAGACAATCCAGTGATCAACAGCATGAGCATCGATCTACACAATTGGATACAATGACATGTGTCAGCCAAGCCTGCAAACCTCACCACCTGATCATCTATCCCTCTTACGACAAGCATGGCTTGCTGATGAGCAATTCTAACCAGGATCTTCACGGGTCTCCTAATTTCTGTCCACAGCAGATCATCATCATTTGTGAGTATGTGGATGTAGTCTATATTCTTAGAGACCCGTGAAGATCCGGGGTAGAATAGGTCTTCAGCAACCCATTCTTGTCATAAAAGGCGACTATGCTTGTCGTAAAAGGCGACTAACGGGATCGGGTGGTCAGGCTCGCTGACTTGGTTGACACATGTCATCGGTTCCCACTTGCGCAGATCGATGCTTATGCTGTTGATCACTGGATTGTCTGGTCCAGACTCGATTATTTACAGGCCGCCGCCATATAGCTGGAATATTGCTGAGTGCGGCGTAAAACTAACTCACTCACTATATTCTTAGAGTGAGGTTACAAAGGAAGTATATCACATGCCTAGAGTGGAAATCAGTTGGTGTATTGTGCTCTCAGAGCACTGAATGCGTGTAAATCATGGCATATCAAAATGATGTATAGAACATATGAAGCCTATTAATAGTGACCCAGTCTTTATAATTATCCCCATTGCATAGATCGATGTTCATGCTGTTGATCTCTGGATTGTCTGGTCCAGATCTGATTATTTACAGACCGCCGCCATATAGCTGGAATATTGCTGAGTGCAGCATAAAACTAAACTCACTCACTCGCTTATAATTATGAAATAAACTGTTTAAAGAGCCATAAAAATGTACACCCTTGCTAAAGAAATTGAAAAAAAATCTTCATATGACAGTTTTATGAAACTGTTGAACCTGTTGAACAGCTTGACAACATTTGGAAATTAATCATACCCCTCCATTTTACAGTTAATCTGCTTTTGAGTGCTAGGGTAAAAGTCATATGATCAATTATCTCCCACACAAATTCCTTTCATTCCGACATGCAAGGAGATTATGTTGAAGGGATTTACAGTGTTGAATGTAAGTGTATGTCGCTTATCTCATGGACAGGTGTAGAATACCCTCGTATCTCCCTAGTGAATACGAAGAGGAGGAAGTCACACACATCCCGACTCCTGAATGGGTTTTCCTGAAGTTTGTGGCCAAACAAATCTGTATTTATTATCTTTATAGTCCCTTTAACCCACTGCCTGAACTTCAAGGTGTGTGCAATATTTGAAAAAGATTAACCAAGCGTTAATTGGTTAAATACAGGTTTATCCCCCATTGCTTACAGAATACAACGACAACCATATATAACTGACACCGCATTGTAGGTTAGGTATTTTTAGTTTTGCACATTACATACTTTTCATAAATACCTGTTCATCGTCAAATATTAATACACAGGTGCGCTGATGCCCTCTCAAACACTCCCCTGTACAACCAGAATTATGTTTCTCTTTGTACACTGCAAACTGTATGCTTTTGTATTGTGACAATATGTCTTTAAAATTCAATAAAGTTATGAAATTAAATGAAGGAGAGTCTGCTATGGTGGTGAGGACGGTGAATGACAGCTTAATCTACAGATAACGGTATGAATGAAATCCCAGCAATTATTGACGTTACTTTTAGGGAGTTGCCCATGTGAAAGGCTTACAGGTCGTGACATGTGAGGCGACGCCCATTTATATGTGGGACACCCACTCTCAACTCTATGCACCCCATTTTCATCAATGTCCTCAAGCTAATCCAAGTCTCCCCTACCCTACTCCTCCCATGTGTTACACAACTCCCACTGTGGGTGCTACCTATGCATGGAGTGTGATGTCTTAAATGTCCCAGATTAGAATTGGTCTTCAGTAACCCATGCTTGTCATAAAAGGTGACTAACGGGATCGGGTGGTCAGGCTTGCTGACTTGGTTGACATGTCATCGTATCCTTATTGCTTGATGTTCATGATGTTGATCACTAGATTGTCTGGTCAAGACTCGGTTATTTACAGACAGCCACCGCATAGCTGGAATATTGCTGAGTGAGGCGTAAAACTAAACTCACTCACTCACTGAAAAAGTCCCCATTGCCCTATCGCCCCTGTGGTATTTCATTGAGAACTTTATGCTGACATATTTCTTTTCCCTGTAGGGCTGGTGGGGTAGCCTAATGGTTAAAGCGTTGGCTCATCACGCCGAAGACCCGGGTTCGAATCCCCACATGGGCACAATGTGTGAAGCCCATTTCTGGTGTCCCCCGCCGTGATGTTGCTGGAATATTGCTAAAAGCGGCGTAAAACCAAACTTAGTCAGTCAGTCTTTTCCCTGTATAATGTGTGAGTGAGTTTGTGTCATAGTGAGTGAGAGTTATGTCATACGCAGACATTGTCGACTCTGTGAAGTAGGTTCATCATACACAATCTGAAACTAATGTATTCAGTGAAGCCCATGCATGTCTACAATACGGAAGATGTGGATTTCTACAGTTTCAGGAAACTGAGAAAGTCTCTGGGCTCCTTTTAGTGTATTTTATCAAAATGATTTAAGAACTTTATTTTTCTTTAAAACATGATGAATACGGAGACTAAATGGTAGTCTTTGATGACGTCTTACCTGCGCTACTGTAGTGGGAGTATACGATCACAACAATGGCCAGAGTTAACAGATGACGCTTCAGATGCATTGTGGGAGGGTTCTGAAATAAAGATGTGATGTAATTGAAGCCTGGGCTAGAATCCAGTTAATTTGTAGTTCATATAATGTCTCTGCTTGTATTAACGGGAATATTACCTGTACACAGAGGCATTGTGGGAGGGTTCTGAAATAAAGATGTGATGTAATTGAAGCCTGGGCTAGAATCCAGATAATTTGTAGTTCATATAATGTCTCTGCTTGTATTGACGGGAATATTACCTGTACACAGAGACATTGTAGGAGGTTTCTGAAATAAAGATGTGATGTAATTGAAGCCTGTGCTAGAATTCAGATAATTTGTAGTTCATACAATGTCTCTGCTTGTATTAACGGGAATATTACCTGTACACAGAGGCATTGTTGTTGGTTGCAGTTTCATGGGTTCCCCAATACAGTTACGTAATGCAAAATTGAAAACCTACCCCAGCTTCAGATCTCATAGTAAAAGTGACTGACTGCAACCTCACTCACTCACTCACTCACTGCGCTCACTCACTCATTCAATTCATTCATTCACTCTACTCACCCCTCACTCACTCATGGGGTGGTGGACCCTTGAAGGCCTGGGTTAGACTAGTGATCTTCAGTAACCCATGCTTGTCGTAAGAGGCGACTAACGGGATTGGGTGGTCAGGCTCCCAATTGCGCAGATCGATGTTTAGGCTGTTGATCACTGGATTGTCTGGTCCAGACTCGATTATTTACAGACCACCGCCATATAGCTGGAAATATTGCTGAGTGTGGCGTAAAACTAAACTCACTCAATAACTCATGGAGCGTTGGGGTAGCCTTCTGGTTAAAGTGTTTGCTCATCATGCCAAAGACCTGGTTTTGATTCCCTACATACACTCACTCACTCACTCACTCACTCACTCACTCACTCACTCACTCACTCTCTCACTCCATTTAGTCACTTTGATACAGCTGGAATGATGCTGGCTACATCACTCCGCTTATCACTCACCATTATATAGCTGGAATAGTTTCGGCACTAGCCCTCTCTCTCATTTGTTCTCACTCAATCTTAAGTAGACAGTTTATACCATGTTTGTTTGTCCAAAACTACCACTTAGACCCCGTTACTCACTGTATCTAGTCCAGACAAATATTATCAGAGATAGTTAAAGAGCAGTGGCTGCCTGACTACAGAGGAATCCCCTTTGCAGACCAAGCGTCTTCCACATGCTAACACCATGCCTACTAAACAAGTCGCTTGTAAAGGTTATCCTATCATTTCCAGCACTTCCCCTGGAGGCTTGCGGGTCTGACATCACATACAAGTACATCTCACAACACATCTCTCCACTCATGGTGTTGCTGCAGCAACAGCAACAGCAGCAACAGCAGCAGCAGGTGTTGACTGTGTACATCAAACACTGAGTGGGGAAACTCCAGCATCCAAATACCCTACTCAGCGTCACCTGAATATTTACCAGCACATCCATACTTAGTCACTCTTTTCACACCTTATAAGGTTCATATGAGACAGTGGGGTAGCCTTGTGGTTAAAGCGCTCGGTCATCACACCCAAGACCTGGGTTCAATTCCCCACATGGGTACAATGTGTGAAGACCATTTCTTGTGTCCCTCACCATGATATTGCTAGAATATTGCTTGAATATTGCTAAAAACGGTGTGAAACTAAACTCACTCACTCACTCTATTTAAGGGGGCGGTGGGGTAGCCTAATGGTTAAAGCGTTGGCTCGTCACGCCGAAGACCCAGGTTCGAATCCCCACATGGGTACAATATGTTAAGCCCATTTCTGGTGTCCCCTGCCGTGATGTTGCTGGAATATTGCTTAAAACGGCGTAAAACCAAACTCAGTCAGTCAGTCACTCTATTTAAGATTAATTACTTTGACAAAAATACATATTTTAGATTTCTCTGAAAAACAATCTGCAAAAATTTCCACTTGAGGTAAAAAGGTTGAAAAACTGTAATTACCCATCCTGACATGACCGGCAGAAATGATTAAAGACCTGTGCATGGTTTGGAAATGAAATTCAATCTAAACAAAGAACACAGAATGTCTAGGACATAAAGATGAAAGGTTTTCACAGAGGAAGATCATCCTACTAGACCCATTTTACCATGCTTACTGTCAACAAACTATAATTTTCATATCAGGTTTTCAAAACCAAGTAGACAGAATGAAGTCCTGTCAACAAACTGTTTTAGGTTTTCAAAACCAAGAGACAGAATGAAGTCCTGCTATTATGTAAATTGTTAGTCGGGACGTGGTAATGGAAGAAGGTAGATCAGTACAGTCTACTTGGAATGGGCCAAAACAATATTCCAGATCAACCAAACAATTTCAAACCCATGTTTAGTTGCAAACCAACCTCAACAGTTTGTGCCATCCAGGCTTGATGATGTTACAAGTTGTTTGCATGGGGCTATGCAACCAGTTCAGGTATAAGCTAGTGTCATGACCAGTTTTAAATACCAAGGGGCTGATCCAGAGGGACAAAGTGTAACAATGGATCAGTCACGTGTTACACTCAATACAATGTGACACAGGATCAGTCACTTGTCACACCTTGTACAGTGTGACACAGGATCAGTCACTTGCCACACCCAGTTCAATGTGACACAGGATCAGTTACAGCGTGTGCTCACCCAGTACAATGTGACACAGATCAGAACGGGTTTCACCCCACATGGGCATAGTGTGTGAAGCCCTAGTGGTTAAAGTGTCCCACCCAGATATTGCAATGTGACACAGGATCAGTCAACTTGTCACACTCAGTGTGTCAGTGTGACACAGGATCAGTCACTTGTCACACCCAGTACAATGTGACACAGGATCAGTCACTTGTCACACCCAGTACAATGTGACACAGGATCAGTCACTTGTCACACCCAGTACAATGTGACACAATGTTGCACCCTCATAGTGTATATATCACTGGCTGTCAACACATTCACATCACAAACGGTTCACTTTACATATTAAGTTTAGACTCCAGCCCGCTAAACAGCATCTCTCCCCAGTCACACTCCCCAAATATTGACCTTGTACTCATGTGCTTAGACAACTGTCGCAGCGGCTGATCTCTGTTGATGTTGGGCGAGTGAGTGCTAAAGAAGCAATTCTTATCCTTTCAAATCAACTTTTTACGTAATTCACTAGGTGCTAATGTGTCCAAACAGTTTTTTCTAGGGTCTATGCATAGTTTCAAGTTGTGTTTGTGGTATATATTTTATTTAAGAAGGGTGTGAATGGTGTATCCAGTGCAGAATAAACCACTCAAATTAATGTCCTAAGCAACCTTCTCCAGCAATATTTGCAGGGGATACAATAACTGTCTTAACATATTTACCCATAATGGGATTCAAACTCGGTTCTTTGGTGTTACTACTGTACACTTGAACCACTTGGCTACCCAACACCATCCAGGCATATAAGTTATGTGCAATACATCCATATGCCAGTGCCCAATGTTTTGTTTTAAAAAGTAGTTATATGAATAAATTAAGGGTGAGTTTTGATAGTCCTGTGGTTACCTCTTGACCCTGCCTTATGATGTGCATCGTCGTGTTCAGTTCATGTTGGTATGACATGCTGTTCAAATGTGCTTGTTACCTTCTATTTCTGGTTTTTATTTTTATTTCTAGAATATCTGAATTTCACAAGAGTTATCAAAGAAATTAAAACGCTTTGCCTTCTTCAGAGGATGTTTATTCCAAACTTATACTTTTTATGATCCAGTTGAAATGTACACTTTCTGGATGGAACCCTGAATTATTTCATTTGGTATTCTGATATATTGTGGGTTTTTTACCTTAACATCTTCCTATCAAAGTCCTCCATTTATTACTGCCACTTGGCACATTGAGAAGGAGCCATGTGCAACAAGACATCAAATCTTGTGAGCTTAATCAGGAATTATGTAAAGTCTTAAATGTTGTGCTTAAGAGTGTTTAAGGCGTCATGTCAGATTAATATCTGTAAACCTGCAAAGTCACCAAACAGCACTCCCACCAGCATTGTCTAAACCTCAGGGTCTTCCACATACCACACTTCTCTCACCCATGTAGAAATCATCAATACATCCAGTTGAGGAACTTCATGTTTACAAGACCATAAAGATCTGCCAATGAGCCACACTATAGTACGACAATGGTTGATACGCTGTATATCTCCCAAGGGGCTGTGGTCAGGGGCAGGTCATACTATCAACAATACTTCAATGGCAGTCGGACAATCCCATTCCTTAGGTTTAATGTGCCAGCATTCCAATCTGGATAGGATGGACAGAAGACAGATGTATTCCACACCTTGGTATGGTCACCAGGTACTAAAGTGATGTTGAAATATTCTACATATATCACCAAAACGTCAGTGTACATTTGTTTTAGATTGGTCGAAACTTACCCAGTGAGCAGACTCATGCCGCATTAAAACCAAATTTCAAACGTTTTACATATTTATTTTTTGCCTACCTCCATATCAGATTTTTCATTCGGGGCAGTGGGGGAGTCTAGTGGCTAAAGCGTTGGCTCGTCACAGCGAAGACCCAAGTTTGAATCCCCACATGGGTACATTGTGTGAAGCCCATTTTTGGTGTCCCTCGCCGTGATGTTGCTCGAATATTGCTAAAAGCGTCGTAAAACCAAACTCTGTCAGTCAGAGTTTTCATTCAAAATCCTAAGCACAGTAATAATCAAGGCTTTACTGAAAACTGTCAGAATGGAGATCTATACATATAATGTAAACTTCATGAAGTGAAAATGCAAAGGTTCTAATGTCCACATAATTATGCAGCTGCATACAGGGTTGAATATAAAAACATCACTTCAAAGAAGATGCGTGTCGGCCACATTGGCTGCATCACCCAGCTCAACCCATATCAGTGCATCGTGGACCTGTCCTTAGTGAAATACAGAAAACTGTTTATAGCAAACACGCTTATAACAAACTGGACATAACAAACTGTTTTCATTTCTGTCCGTCCACATACTGTATGTTTAAGTTGAAAAGCGTGACACAAACTA